TGTCATGCAAGTCATTCTTCTTCTTCCTCCTCCTCTTTCTGTTCCTATTATTATTATTATTATTATTATTATTATTATTATTATTATTACAAAACTTTACATTAGCAAAAGCCGGTTGCCACTGATTTTGTAACTTTTTTTTTTTTTTGAGAAAGAGGAAGAGAGATCAAATTAAAAAAAGAAAAACAAGCTTCCAATATGATTTGTGTTGAAGTGTTTCTTTATCTGGATGGGATATAACACACAGACATCCCAAATTTCCATTGCATCTGCAGGGCACCAGATTGGCAAAGGCTGATATAAAGAAACTGAGATATGGGTATTCTGTGCATATTTTAACTCTGAAATATGTGCTGTTGTGCTCATTAGTAGTCTCCATTATGGATTGCAGCCTTACTTCCTTGTAAACCCAACAGCGTGGTTGAATGGGATATGAATAGCTATGTGAATAAGTAACGTGAAATTTGATACAGGATTCTTACTCCTTATAACTTCTTATTGTTTAATAATAAGTGAACTACTACTACTACTACATTGGGAACAATGCTGTTACGAGAATGGAGATAGTCTCTGCAATTTGCCACACAAAGAAAAGTATTTGGCATATATACACACAAAGACATTTCCCGCATCTATTCCTTGCAGGAAGGGAGATACTATTGTTCACTGGAGAACAAGCCAAGAGCCTTGTGGCAGGGGCATTTTAAAGATTAGCAGATATATTGTCTGATAAGTTTAGGAAGGTCTCAGTCCCTTTCATCCAATCAATACTGATGAATCTGAGAGGCTCTATGACACAGCTGTGTGACACTGGATGAGCCCTGCTAAGCTAAATTTATGATATGTGGACTTCAACTCCCAGAATTCCCCAGCCAAGCATGGAATTCTGGGAGTTGAAGTCCACACATCTTAACCAAGGTTGAAAATTCTGTGCTAAGACATGGACGTGGCATGCTGGTTGAACCTAGCCACTGTGCTATCAACCATGGTTTTGGAATCCATTCATAATCTTAATGATGCTTACACAGAAGCTGATCCCAGAGTTCACTGGTTCTTGTGCCTGAGAACAGGAAGCCTCTCTCGGCAGCAAGTTCCACCAGTTCCAAGCACCATGCTTTAATTGCATGACCTGACATTTATAGGAGATCCTCTCTTGAAACCCCCTTACTGAAAAGCCTTTGGCTGGAGCAAGATGGGCTGTTCCTTTAAAAGGATTTGATCTGGGATAACTGATACCAAGTGACTGAGCAATAACTTTGCAGGGAGAACTCACCACTGGCTTTGGAAGAGTATTCCAGACAAACCCAAAAGGCATCAGAGAAAATCAAATTACCTGAGGAACTAGAAAAGTTTTCCCTGCCTTCCCTGCCTCCTGAGCAAAGTTGGCCCAATATACAACATCTATGTATTCAGGAAGGAATAACTTCCTTCCTTCCTGGCTATAAATGCCATCCTGTCCAGTCACATTCACCTTAAATGTTTGGACTTAAAGGAGGATTCTTGTCTGAAAGAAGATCAGGGACCTTTTACTCATCTTAAGTAATAGATTGTGGGGGATGGGCGGGGACAAATTAAATAAATAAATAAATAAATAAAAATAAATAGATTTGTTACTTAAGACTCATAGCCTGAAACCAATTTTCTTCCCATAACTGATTACGGAAAGACTCAATGTGGGTCTCTCAAGGCAAGGCTTACCCTATGAAGGGAGTTTAGGTTAGAAGCATTCCAGGCAAAAAAGACAAGAGTATCTGAAGATGTAGAGACCACATTTCTCTGATCACTGACCACTTACAATTAAGCACTGAGAAAAGAGGAGTGATTGTCATTTTAGCCTGGAGCTGTTGGCCCACCAATTAAATTAGGCAAAGCACTTTCTCGACAAACTCAGTTTTAACTCTGTCCCATCTGCACTATAGGAGATAGCTTGACCTAGCAAGGTTATATTCCAGTAGGAATAACTAGTGCTTACTAGTAGCCTATAAGCCAGGCATTAGACAACAGTTCTGTTCTACTTTTTATCTTCCAGGAGTCTGCTCTCCAGGATACACAACTTCTGAGGAGAGAGCTTCTATTTTATTTATATATATATATGTATAAAAAGTATAT